ACGCCAAAGAGAGAAACAACTTGTATTGTCTCTTGTCACCCCATAAAGAGTTCATAATCGAGATCACGGAACAAAATTTTGTCAGGGGCTGCACTCAATAAACCTGACCATGAGCAAAACCAAGTCCACACCTCCACATCGAAATCACACTTGAAAAAAGCATGATCGACAATCTCTTCCTCTTTCAAACTTTGTTTTTTATTAAATATGTAATTTTAATGTAAAATATGCATTTTACATATAAATATATAAATTTAATGTAAAAAAATTAGATCATATCATATGGATATATGTATAATTTTTTAACCATCGGTTGATATCATATCATATCATATCATACTATACTATAAAGGAAACATTTTTCCGTTCACCACATTCATTTGAAACTCTCATGCATTTTTCCTTTTACCACATTCATTTGAAACTCTCATGACTTTTCAATTTCTTTCTAATAATGATTATAAGTTGGTTAATAAGGTTAAATAAATATCAATCCTAAAGTGTAATCATATATAAACTAAATTTAAATATTAAAAAATATCTTTACTTCTACATATAAAGTTATGTTTTTTAACTTTTAACATATTATACTTAATTTATTAATTTTAATATATTTTGGATGTAACCATTATCATTTTAAAGCTATAAATTTTGAACAATTTGTACAAAATACATAAATTATTAATTTAAATATCATATTACATGGTCAACTTAAATCTAAATTTTAGTTTAACTTAAACAACCGAAAAAATATTTTGTAAAATAATAAAAGTGATAAATTGTAATGTCTTTCTAATATGATTAAATTTGGTTAATAAGGTTAAATAAATATCAAATTTAAAGTGTAACCATACATAAACTAAATTTCAATATTAAAATAATATATTCCTTCTCTACTTATAAAGTTATGACTTTAACTTTTAATAGTATACTTAATTTATTAAATTTAATAGTTATTGTTTAAAACAATTATCAGTTTAAAGCTACAACTTTTGAACAGTTTGGAAAAAATACTTAAATTGTTAATTTAAATATAACATTACAGTGTCAACTTAAATATAAATTTCAGTTCCACTTAAAAACCCAATGAATATTTTTGAATAGTCAAAAAGTGATAAATTGTAGTGTTAAATGCAAAACTAAATGTAATATCAACTTAACTAAAATATTTCTAAAGATATTTTTATAATCGTTAAAAGTTTTCAAATAAGTAGCTTAAAATAATTTATAATAACAATAGTTAAAAATAACTCTATATACATGATTATATTGTTACCTTTAAATTCAAAAAACGATGTTTGATGTTTTAAATAATTATAATGATATAAATTAAAACGTTAAGCAAATAAATTTTAAAAAATTAATTAATGATAACAACAACTATAAATAACATTAAACCATATATTATATTTAATTTTATGCATGAATAACTTGCAGGTAGAAGTCATTCAAACGATTTAGATTATGCAGTATAATAGATGTATATATTATCATATAATTCAAAATAGTCAATATATTATATCAATTTAGTATACAAATTATTATATCAAATTTAACAACAATGTTATTGTTATATTTAGAAAAACATATATTTGTAAATATTTCAACTATATAGGTCTTTCTGCGCAACGCGCAAACATTTGCCTAGTGTATACATAAAATGTTGTTAATATATTGTAATTTAAATTAATAAGGGTAGTAACTCAATAAATCGTAAGAAACCGTGTGATCTTAGATTTGAATCTCATTCACAATTGTATTTATATAAAAAAATGATTTTTAAATGTAAAAACATGTATTTATATGCTTTCAAATGTAAAAAAAAAAAAATTATTTCAATGATTTCAAACAGAAAATGGTCAAAATGTTCAAAATAAGGAAAAATAATGATTGATTTGGAACAAATAAGAGAGTGTTAAAATCGAAAAATGAAATAAGAACTTAATGTCAAAATAAAAAAATAAAAAACTTAGTGTCTTTTGTGTTAATTTTTTTTTTCAACTTTAACACATCATCATGACATGTCATCACCAAATAACTGAATAGTGTCATGTGACCGGATAACTGAGTTAACCGGTTAAATTGTCAAAATTAAAAAAATTAAAATTTTAATGATTAAATTGTAACAAAGAAAAATACAATATAATTTTTGTTAAAACATAATAATTTTTAGGGTAAATTATACCAATCGTCCTTCGTGCATTCGCAAAAACGCATGTTTAGTCCCTATTTTCAAAAATTAACTCGGATCGTCCCTCGTTTGTTTTAACATTACACACTTCATCCCTCCAAACATAAAAAAAAAAAAATACTATTTTACCCTTTATAATTTGTTTTTTAATTTTTTATTTGTTTTATCATTTTTCAGTTAATAAAAAAAGAAAAAAAAATATACACCTACCCACCCTCCCCTCTTTCTTTCCATACATTCCTTTCGTCTCCCTAACTATCTGGAAAGACCAAAACATCACCACCATCATATTCTTAGTTTCAATATATTTGCCATTTTCATCTCCGGTGACCCCAAAAACATCTCCGGTGACTCTGGACAGAAAAGAAAGAACTCCATTTTTTTCTCTAAGAACTTAAGCATTCTCTTTCTCTTGTAGCCCTTTCTCTTTAAGAACTCCATTTCATGGACCGAAAAGAAAGAACAGGTTGACGAACCCTGTCAGAAATGGTCAGAGAAGAAGAAGAGACGGGTAAACGCAAACCCTAAATCGTCGTCTCCATCTGAAGTGTCATAACACAAAACCTAGATCGATGTTGTATCCCTTCGTCTTTTTAGATGTGCGTCTGGAGGTGGCGATAGGGTTTCACGTGGTGATGGTGGCTTTGCGAGGTCACATTTATCCGGCGAGGCGGCGACTTCAGATGTCGCTGGAAGTGGCTTCAACATCGATGAATGAGATGTGATTGTGGGTGAGGGAGTTGGCTGGAGACGGTGATAGGTGGTGATGGTGGCTCTGCGACGTCACCTTCTCCAGAGGTGGAGACGATGATGGTGGCCGGTGATTTAGCCGACGATTTTGGGTAGGTATTATCGTTGGAAGTGGCTTCACCAAGTGTGTGAGTTTGTTTCCGATTAGCAACAATTGAAGGGTGGGGAAAATGTAGGGCCTCTATTTTTTTTTATTTTTTTTAAATTGATAAAAAAATATTAAAAAACATTAAATTAATTGAAAATTAAAAACATAAGGGGTATTATCGTCATTTCAGTTTTGGAACGGACTAAGTTTGCAATAAAGTTGACTTTGAGGGATGAAGCATGCAGAGTTAAACCAAATGAGGGACGGTCCGAGTTAAATTTTGAAAATAAAGACTAAACGTGAGTTTTGACCAACTTTTATACAGTTTTACCTTTATAACTAATTTTTTATTATATTTATTTCATATTATACAGGGATAGCCATTTTCAAAACTAATAGCAAAGTTTTATTTATTTATTTATTTATTTATCAAAATGAGGTCAGTAAAGAAGAACAATGACATATTATTTGAAGCATAAAAGCAGAAAATACTAAATTAACCCCAGGGCAGAACCCAACAAGAAATTTGCGATTTGCGAGTAAAAAGCTGCTTTTTAGGAATCTGCGAGGTGCCATGCCAGATGTTTCTGCCCTCTCTCTTTCTCTTTCTCTTTCTCTTTCTCCTTTTCATGTTTTAAATTTCTTTTCAAAAGCACTAACGTTTTTATCATTATTACAGGTGAATGAATTATGTTATATTTTAATAACTAACAAGTTTAATAAATTAAACTATAACATTTTAATAAAAATGATGCCAGTAAATCTATGTTTATCAAGTCAAAACGATCATAAATCATCTGAAACGTATTCAAAAGGATAAATCACCAAAACGTTTAATTAAAAAATCAGCTATTTAAAAATAATAATAATAATAATACAACATATATTTCAACATATTAGTCGTTCAACAAATTCACAAAAAAATATATATACTAAAATGTTCCAATTCGCCGACTCAACGAAAGTTAGTAAAACTTTATCTATGGATGTTTTGGAAAACGAGTTTCTATAAGACTTTAGCTTTTAATTTTTAAAAATAAACTAGAAAATGTTTGTAACCACCTTAGAGCTTTAATTTTACACAAAAAGTGAAAAACCTATAATCCAAATATATTTAAAATAATTTTTAAAAGATTTTAGTTTTAAAATTTCATATAATTTTTATACATTTTCTAATTTTAACTTATAATCCAAAAAAACTTATACGAACATTCATACAAATAAAAAAAATAAAACTTTCTAATTTTAATTACCAACTACTGTCTAGTTTTTACTGTTCGAGGTTACTCATTTTGACACCTTTGCGTCATATTTGACACGTGATTACCCATTTTCTTTTTCAAATTACTTAACGAAATCAACTATTATGATACTTTCTAGACGTCAATTTCTATGAAATCGTATCTAAGAAACACAACATTGATAATGGCTAAAATTGACATTAAGAAAAGAAAAAAGAGTAAGGCATGTGCTGGACAATCGTAGGTGGGGTAGGTTTTCCGTAAGAATTGCAACTTTAAAATTTATACAACGAATCGAGGTCCTGAAATGAAATTACATACAACCAAAAAGGAACATACAAACACATTTTTTACACAAAATATAATAAAATGTGTATTTTAAGCATGGTTAAATACATGATATAGCAAGGCACATCCTCCTTTGTTTTATTTATTACAACTTTTTTGCTTTTATCACTTTATATTATATTTTAAAAAAATCCATACAAGTATAATATAACATTGTATTTTCATTACTTTCATCGATTTGTTCATTTAATAATAAGAAAAAAATATATAACTTCAATTTAAAATATAATATCTTAATTAAAAATAGATGTTATAATAAATAAATTATTATTTATTCTTGTACTAACTTTTCTAAATATAAGGATATTAAAATACCCAAAAAAAACATGTACGTTATGTAGGTGTTGGAGTAAGGGTGTACTTATGTGACGATTTAGTGTCATTGATAAGATAGTAAAGACGAATTAATTGTTTAAAAACTCAGAAACAGTTTGTCTTTTGAAGGGTTTGCAGTTTGAGGTTTTTTTCTGTTTTGTATGCATCTGCTGCATTTTCTTCCCTATGACAAAATTTCGGAATAAAACCAAAAACTGTTTGTTGGTGATGGTGTTGTTGTTTTCTTGTTGATGAAATCTCAGTCTTGTAGGAAAGAGACAACTCCAAATCCGATTTCATATACACAAAGCCTTAAAATACACACCCAAACACCAACAAAATACAAACATGGCTTCTTCTTCTTCTTCCAAAACCTCAATCCTCTTCACATTTGTTTCTATCCTTCTGTTTCTACCTGTTGTCTTCTCTCTACCCAAAAACGAAACCACTTTTAGGCCATTGCAAGAGCTAAAGAAGCTAAAAAGAATCAGAAATCATCTCAACAAGATCAACAAGCCTCCAGTCAAGACCATTCACGTAATCTATTTGGGTTTTATAATTTCTCCGTTTTCTAGTTTCTTGAAAGTCAAGTTACAAGTTATGTGTGTTTTTTTTTTCCCTAAACAGAGCCCTGATGGAGACTTGATAGACTGTATTCCCTCTCATCATCAACCAGCATTTGATCATCCAAAGCTCAAAGGACAGAAGCCATTGGTATATTAATTTTTCCTTTCAGATTCGCTTTCTGGTTGTTCCCATGTATTATTCAAGTGTTATACGATCTTAAATGGGTTTTCCATTTTTTACTAAATTGCAGGAACCACCATTAGAGAGGCCGAAGGAGGATGACAAATACTCCATCGATGAAACTATCGAGACCTTTCAGCTATGGACACAATCCAACGAATCCTGCCCAGAAGGCACTATTCCGATCAGGAGAACTACAGAAACCGATGTTTTACGTGCAACTTCGCTCAAACGATTCGGAAGAAAGATCATAAAGCCTGTCAGGCGCGACACATCCAGTGGTGGTCATGAAGTCAGTACTAATAAGAATCGATATATTGTTGTTATATTACATATATAAGCCATAAGTCGAACTTGTACTAAAAAAAAATGGTGGTTTATATTGCAGCATGCAGTCGCTTTTGTGAATGGAGATCAATACTATGGAGCTAAAGCGAGTATAAACGTATGGACTCCTGTTGTTACAGATCCATATGAATTCAGTCTTTCACAATTGTGGGTTATCTCTGGTTCATTTGGCAATGATCTGAATACAGTAGAAGCTGGTTGGCAGGTAAACTTTTACTTAGCTTAATTACTTATATCAAACATTAGTTTAATTTCATAGATATAATGACAAGATATATATTGATAATTTTTCAGGTAAGTCCGGAGTTGTATGGAGATGGTTACCCAAGATTTTTCACCTACTGGACAGTAAGTTCTAGCTATTGACATTTTCTGAGTGTTTGCTTCAAATAAGAACAAAATGATATATAATGTTGAGAAAAAGGATGGTAACTTTGGTTCATTTTAACAGACTGATGCATACCAAACGACTGGATGCTACAACTTACTATGTTCAGGATTTGTTCAAACAAACAACAGGATCGCTATAGGTGCAGCAATCTCACCAAGGTCATCTTACAAGGCCAAACAATTTGATATCGGCATCATGATATGGAAGGTAATTAATGCCGACATGGTTTGAGTTATATATTATCTTAAAGAAATTGTATTCTACTAGTTATGTTTTTACATTCACCCTTGTGGGTGTTAAGATACTTAAATCAAACTCCACTTTCAACACCAAAATGGAGTAACGACTAGCTAGATTACTAAAAGATGGAGTAATACTTTTCACCAATTCATTTTTTTTGCATTGAAAATGGAGTTACTTTTCATTTGTTTGCACTAAAAATGGAGTTACTTCAAAAATGGGATATATTTGAAAATACATCACTTGTTTGCATTATTTTTAATGCAAAAAATGGTGTTATATATGTTGAGATTTTGGTTGTTCAACTGACCTTCACTAGCTAGGGTTTTGCCGAGATATAATTCAACCATTTTTGTGGACCAAAACTTCCAAATTAAACTGTTTTATTTCTGCTTATAGCACCTACTGATCTTTGCTAATATTAAATTGTAAGATTCTCTTACTTATCCTACCGGGAAGTGGTCTCCCATGTGTTGACATAAGTGATTAAATTAATCTAACTATTTACTAAAGCATTTCCAACATAGTACACCTGTTTTTAACTTTTTTTTTTCTTTGTAGATTTTTTAAATCTGTTATCTTTTTATAAAGTTGATTACATCTTTTTTTAATCAAAATATCTTTATAAATATATTGTTCCACAATTAAAGAAAAACCAAGTTGTTTATATATAACAATTATCGAAATTATTATATAATTAGAACAAATATTTTATTATATAAAAACATATATTTACAACATAAATTTTTATAAATCTTACATATGCATAAATTGAACTGTTACACATGTATTTACATTAACATTACATATCTCATTGCCAAACATGATATGGAAATTCCGTACACACGTTCTACATTCTTTTGACATGCTTCTTTTGGCAAAGCAAAGTATTTTGGACCTTATAGTTCATGAATAGTTTGTATTTATCTAGATCATTTTAATATATATTATCAGATTAAATATTATCTCTATCTTCATCGGCTATCTGGATATTTATTTTATTTTATTATGGAGGATCTGGATTTAGTTTACAACTCATTAGATTGCTAATATTGTTAATAAACTCAATATATATGTCAATTATGTTTTACTTAAATATGTTATTATGTTATAAACTATTAGAAAGTATTAAGTTTTTAAATAAGATCGAAACATGAAAATCAACTCCAAGTATATATCATAAATTAACACACTTGTTTTCTTTTGTAGGACCCTAAACATGGACACTGGTGGCTGCAATTTGGATCGGGACTACTGATAGGGTATTGGCCATCGTTCTTGTTTAGTCATCTACAAAGACATGCAAGCATGGTACAGTTTGGAGGAGAGATAGTGAACACAAGATCAAATGGATATCACACTTCAACACAAATGGGTAGTGGTCATTTTGCAGATGAAGGGTTTGGGAAAGCTTCATATTTTAGAAATTTGAAGGTGGTTGATTGGGACAATAGTTTGCTTCCATTAACAAACCTTCATCTCTTGGCTGATCATCCAAATTGCTACGATTTAAAAGCAGGAAAGAATAATGTTTGGGGGAATTATATTTATTATGGAGGTCCTGGAAGGAATGGAAGGTGTCAATAAAGAAAGTAACTACATGCAATCTCTATGGCTTTTTCTTTCTCATGATTGATTCTTTTCCTATATAGTAATTTGTTGGATAAGTTTTGAAATTTTGTGCCTGCATAAATATCATTTTCTTTTATAATAGGTCATAATTCCACCTTCAAGCTCTTGTATATTAGGTGTTACAGAATGGATTTTATATATTATGGTTTGTCATTGAGTGTTGACCTTTCTATATTTGTGTATTGCTATTAATGCATATATTGTAAATGTACAATTATGTTCAAACAATGATTTGACACATATCTTAAAGTTGAAGTTATCTACTTCCGCTCTCTAAAATTTGTTAGTATTGAAAGGAACTTCCACCGATATAAACCAAATATTGGTGTACCAAACACCTATCTATCATCATTATAATCTTATTGACTTGTCAAGTCTTAACTAACATGGTCCCTTAGGGGAGGGGATATGCTAGTAAGTCTACACAGATTAGACAGTATGAAAACTACGTAACATACAACTGCATGTAGTCATGAATGAACAGTCATTAATCGAAGGGGAGCTCAATGGTAAATATTCTTTAAAATTATTGCCGTTCAAAAAAAAAATTTATATTCATGCTCATGCAATTTGAAATGATAGGACATACGAAAAAGTGTATGCTCGAAAAATATGCAAGAATTTAATTTGAAATAATAGTAAAAAGAGGAAGAAATTAAACCTCTTCGCTAGCAATCTACAAAATTGATAACAATAATTTGGGTGCACAAGATTCCCTTCATTTGTTATTAGTAAGGTCATCTCAGTCCCTATAATACAAAAGTGGTATTCACTAACACATCAATACAACTTTTTTTTTTGGACAGCCATCAATAAAATTACATACACATCGATAATTACGTTACAATTTATAACACATACTTCAATTAATAATATATATATATAGATATATATATATATATTATATTATATATATATATATAATTTAACAATACAGAATGCTAATGCATGTATATATAATATAATAATTAATGTTAATATATATATATATATCTCTATATATTATATCTTATATATATATATATATATATATATATCTATATATATCTATATATATATATATCTATATATATATAGTCTATTTCCGATATAATAATGTAATGGAATTAATAATTTAATAAAAATAAACAATAATTTAATAAAATAAAAATGTGATATAAATAATGTAATAATATAATATAATATAAAATAATTAAATCGTAGGAGTTATAAGCCTATGTGGCATCACAAAGGACATTACAATTATTGAAAGTGCGTTCAATTAGTAGTTGTAATACATGATATAAGTACATAACTATATCACCTTAAAAGTATATTTTAAGGGTATTTGCAATCCCATAAAAGAGCTTCACAAGTCCATCAATTACGTGTCTAGTAAAATATGTCATTAATTTTCGGAAAGGGTAACATATTATAATACTCTTATGACAACTATGAAAACCCAACTTTGGGAAAAGTGATTGAATCCAATACATATAATGATATAATATCTCTAAGTTAACCATTCAAAAAATTGGACTACTTAAAACACAGTCAACCCAACACAGTTGATGGAGATAAGACAAGCATACTTCTAAACCCAACCCATCTTGACTCTCGAGCATTTAGAAAATAATCAACCAGAGAGGGATAATTCCAAGATCTTATTTTGTCTTCATTAATTTGTGCATACAATTTAAATAAAGTCAGTGGTAATATCAAGATTCAAGAGTATCTAACCCAGTCATCAATGGGTTCTATAGGTGCTCTTTTTGGTAGTCAACAAATACTTACAAAACAGAAGCTAATTAAGTGCTATAACATACATATTCTAGCTTTTAATTTATATATAGTTATAGAGTAACAGTTGGAGCAAGAAATTGTTTTTATACATTGAATTGTATATCTTCATGTATTCTTCTATTAAGTTAAATCTATCAGTTAACTAACTAGCAGCAATATTGTTGATTTATGTATTGAACAAGGAGAATATATTCTTGATGGTCATCTTGCACGTAAGTAGTAAAGGTTTGAAAGAACACGCTTTGTGAACATGTCAACATTTAATTGTTCAAGATAATCAATATGAGTATCTGATTGCTTTTGTACCTGATAGTCGCTACTATACCCAAGCATGGGGTTATGCTCCTTGTGGCGTTCTAGCCCAACTCATATGCGGTTTTTGAGTCGAAATTGAATAGTTGACAATTTTAAGGCCGTAGTCAGATTCCTAGTTTTATATAAAGAAGTTTTGATGTAATTGTAAACCTCAATCTGAAATTCATAATAAACTTCTTTAGTTCGCTTGTGAATGTAGCACGATTACTCTAATCGTGTGAGTCACGTAAATCATATCATATGTGTTTTTTTTTATTGGCATCTTACACTTATGTGTATTGATTGAAAACCTAGAGTATTGGGTGTGGACAACAAGATGAACATCAAGTTGTGCCACCTCACATGACACATAAGCAAATGATGTTATAACACCAAGTGGAGAAATGAGCAACAAGATGCAACATCAACTTTTTGAAAATAAATATGTTTTATTTTTGATTTTTTTTTCTAATTTGGTTTTTTTTCCTTTTTCGATTTTTTCCTTTTTGGTTTTTTTTTCCTTTTTATATTTTTTTTAATCACTAAAATAATATATTTTTATAAAACATAAAATCTTAAAAACAAAAAAGATAATAATATTTAAAATCTAAAATTACGATTACAATTAAAAAAAACATAATTTTAAACCTAAAATCATAACTAAAATACCATTCAAATTACTTCTAAAACCACACAACAATCCTAATTAACCCAAATATTTCTTCATAATTTGTTCATTTATCGCTTGTAGCACCGCTAGATCAGCAGACGCCAAACCCTCATCGCTCGTCCGAAGAATTGACAACAGATGTGTCATTAGTTCCCTCTCTTTTTGCTCATGCTTCTCCCATGCCTGCCTTTCTAGGAACTCCAAATGACGACGTTTCAAGTCATTTTTTTTTCTTTTATTAATAAATTGTGCTCGTCGAATTTCGCTCTCATTTCCGCCGCCTCTTTTGCTTTCGCTTCAACCTCCTCCGCATTCCTTGCAGCGCGCCTCGTTTTGTCGCGTCCGGACGGTCGTCGTGGTGGGGATATCTCCTCGATATCATCTGGGATCTCATCGGTGTCGGCGTTTAGGTCGATGTGAGTCCGTGCGTCCGACACGTCGACCGGGTTAGAATTGCGAGACCTTTTGGATTGAACCTCCGATAATGTAGGTGTTTTATTCCACTTTTTATCCGCTCGCAACAACTACCATGATTTTTCAAAGTCGAAAACATGTCCCATTTTGACCCGATATTGTTCCTTAGCAGATTTGGACAAATCGAAGTCGTTGGTTCCGCTTTGCTGTTGCGCCTCAAACCGGTTGTAAATACCGTTGAATTTGATGCACCGCTTAGTTATTTGACCCCATTTGCTGCTCAACATGTCATTGTTGTGATACGGATTTTGCTTCAAAATAGCGTGAAACTTGTCGCGCACCCCCCCCCCCCAATAAGCTTCTTTCTCCATTACATTTCCGCGGAGTTCGTCTTTTGAAGTAGCACACCAAGCCGCCATTCAAAGCATATTCCTCCTCCGGTGTCCACCATTGTGGAATGTCTGCATTTTCTGTTTCAACCGCTATCGATTTCCCTTTCCCTTTCCCTCTCCTACTACCTCCAGCTTCCACTTCAATTGATGGTTGTGTTGTAGGCGATGGTTGGTTGGTTGTTTGTTTCATCGAAGCAAAAGTAAGGAAAATATTTTGTTTTAAATTTGGGTTTTGACCAAATAGATTTTGTTGAAGGTAAGGTGAGTTGGGAAATTGCAGTGGTGGTGAAGCGAGATTGAAAGCGACGCATTGGTATGAGATTTGTGGTGATCCTTGAGACGATAAAAGGTTGAAATAATTTTCATAACCCGCAAATCCGAGAGGCGAGTTTGTGTGTTTGGGTTTGATGATGGAAGGGGATGTTTGGGTTTTGATCCATTTTTTGATTAAAGAAAGTGTATAAAATATAAAGATAATGATAGAAAGATATATATATATATATATATATATATATATATATATATATATATAAGGTAAAAAGGTAATTTTTTTTTTAATTTTGAATATTGACTGTTTGCAACGGTCATTAGCCCAACGTTCTCTTTTTTTCCCGTTTCTATACGTCGCAACGGCCACGAGAATTGGCTCGACGAGATGCAACAGGTAGGGGGGGGGGTGTTCCCCCGTTATGACGGCGTTTCCGCCATCCACCTCAGCCATGTCGATTCTCGTTGAGACCCATACCGTCTTGTCTAATAATTGTATCAAGGAAACCGGATTGTGATTTTCTTGATTGAAGGTACTTTTTTTTTCTAATGCCCTCTTATATATTCGGGTACAACTTTATTAATTTAAACTCTTTTACATATTCGTTTTCATAAATGTAATGTCTCAAATAAAAGATCATTTTTTTTACAATATATTAAAAAAAACTAAGTTGTAAAAGGCTTTGTAAAGAAGTTGCAAAGAAGAAGGTTTGACAAAAATAGGGGTGTTCGTTTGGATGGATCGGTTCGATCCGATCCAATTAAGTAAATCCAAATTGATTTCAGTTTTCAAAATAAGGATCCGAATAGTCCAAACTAAATTCAAATCCGATCCGATCCGATCCATTTACAATTCGGTTGGATCGATTTTTATAATTCGGTTTCAAAAACCAGAATATTTAAAAACGACATATAATTATAATATTATCTAATTTTACAGAAGAAACAAAAACAAATTATTTAGTTGTGATTTAAAAATTATAAACAACTATTAACAAATAAGAATGTATATTATAGTTTAATATTTAATAGATAAAAACTTTTGAAATAAAATGCATATTAATGTCTTTTATTAGGTGAAACTTTTTGAACTTATTTGAAAAAATTAATTATAAAATTAATAAATAATTATAGATATATTAAAATTAAATAAATAATAAATTGTTATTCGGTTTGTTTGGACTATTAAGTTCTTACTTTATAAACCAAAATCAATCCGAAATTCAAAATAATAATTTGGTTTTGTTGAAAACCAATCCAAAAATCTGAATATCCGAACCAAATAGTCCAATCCAGATTGTCTAACTAAACATTTCAGTTTTATCCAAATAGTGAACAGCCCTAGACAAAAAACTGTCAAAAATATAATTTAAAAAATAAAGTTGTAAAGTAATAATTTTCAAGAAAAAAAAGTAAATTTGAAAAATAAGGACATTTAAAATAGGGATTTAGTTTTTTCACTGAAAAACCGAATAGTGACCGGCTGGAACCGGATACGGGTATTCATTCCGGTTCTCGGTTCTCCCAATTCATCACATTCAGTTTTCGGTTATTTTGGTTCCGGTTTGGTTCAAAACTGAACACGTCCCAAATTTTGAAATACTTGTAACAAATCATTGTTTATTACCTCTTGATGTAATAAAATATATAAACTAGGGTTCTATAGAAATTTGAAATTACTTGTTGACAAATTTGGTTTTCAACTATTTTTAGTTATATGTACAAATATCATTTTATGTTATTTACTTTCCCTTTTGGCTTATTAACTAGTTTTTAGCAATCACTATTTTTCATCAGCTATCTTATCGGGTAAGAGTTAGCTTTTCAACTATTTTGTCAAACATAGTTCCTTCTCATTTCATTGTATGGATGCATTTCCTTGATAAATAAAACCCTAACCGTTTTTGAGTATTGTTGGGCTTATAGTGTTGCGTCATGGGCTCGGTCCTTAGCCCAATTTTGATTGCCGGTTTGGGCCTGTCCAACCGTGCATGTTTTTCTCTAGGGTTTAGTATTTAAGCTGCATGCATACAGTCTTTGAAAAACACGCTTTGCTATTTATTCTTTTTGAGTATTGTAAACCCTAGCTCGCCTCTACAGTGGAAGTTCTTCATAGAGCTCTGCTGATGCGTGACTATATTTGAATCATAAGCATATTGTTGATTCTGTTATTGTGTATGTTTTGTTTGATCTTTATCTTTTACCTGTGAAAAATCTAATCGATCTGAGTTTAATTCTCATCAAGTATTAATCCTTGCATCACTATAGATGATCGATCGTATGAGAAATTATATAGTTGATGTATCAACAAGTTTATCATCATAATCAACATATCTACACTAAAAACCATTTAACCAACAATTCGATGAAAACAAACAAATTGGATACAAAAATGTAATACAAAAGTTACTCAATATAGTCATGTTACAAACTTTTTGCAATTAACAACCTTTAAAAAATGTTACCTTTTATGTGATGATAATATAAGATTTTGCAAGACGTGGTCAATGAAAACCACTAAATCTTCAGGATTACAAACTACAATGTCCAACAATTTACTAATCCCCACATCCACCAAATCTTCCACTAAAACTTTCATCAATGCACATTGATCATGTATGAAATCATATGTTCTTTCCAACTGATAACATAGTTCCAAGAACACGGGGTCCTTCAAAACACTTCTGAAATCCAATGTGATGTTATGATTTTCAGATAAGCATGTGAAGTTCATCTTTATGGCAATATCTTTTGCAGACTCAAGGTTGAAGATTAAATGTTTAGCTTTTACAGAAGAACGCCATTTGACATCATCACTTATTTTAGCAAGTTGACAAAGCTGAACGATGTTTGCAAAGGAAAAACGTAACATAAAGTTGAAAAAATCATAGAAATTCATGCCTGAATGAAAAAAAAAAAAGACATTGTAACTTAACTTATATAAGAATACATGATTTTTATTATTAGCTAATCACTAAAATAACTTCCTACCTGTATTAGCTGCAAGATTTCGTTGACAAAGTCCTTCAAAATCATCACAAATGTCTTTGATATCTTCAATATACTCTGTAGCTTCTTTGTAATCTTTCAAAAGAAGATCCCACTAAAAGTACAATAAGAAATGAATGATAAAAACAACTGTTTATAAATTGTTTTTGGTTTATTTGGTTGTTACTTACCACCCAAGAAAGGTTATATCCATTGAACCAGTTATGGTTTATTGATATTGTATCTTCCTGTAACAAATACATCAAGCACAAATATATGAAAAATCTATGACATAACACAAATATATGTGCATTTGTATCATATTCATACCAGATTGTGAACTTGATGATACCATCCACTAGGAACAAAAATTATTTCATTTTGATCTTGTGTGCATTCCAACCATGTAGTCTGCACATAACGCACACACACACACATAAGCAAATTAATGAAATTAAAAGGTAGAATTAATAGAGAAAGTTTAATGGTTGTGTTGAAAGAGAAGTTACCTTCTTGAAATTGGGAAATATTGTTTCGTTAACCTCTTCAAAGATGTCATAAACAGTGTTTTTCATGTTTCTGGATATGTATAAAGAACAATAAGAGTTCACAATACTTCTTCTTTTAAGAAAATCTAGTTATACCTATCAAAAGCAAGGTGGTGTTGATTTGGAGACAGAAAGTACCACTGCTTCTTGCCACATACATTAGCTGACCAACTATATGACCTAAAAACATCAGCATGGAATGGTGTCCATGTTCCTGAATATACACAAAAATTAAAAATAAAATAAAAATTGGTAACCATGTTCATATCAAGAAGTAGAATAAGAAACAGTGTTGTAACCTTTTGCACCCATGTACACAAAACGATAATCAGAACAGCTTATGTCGTCTCTCTTTTGATATGTATCAGGGTCTTCACGCATATGATAGTGGTCAAGATACAGATTCAGCCAATCATCATGAAAAAACAATGGAGTTGTGTATGCTTTATACTCTGGGTACTCCTACAATCTTGATTATAAATAAGATACGCATATGAAACAATGAAAATTGATGTTCATAGTTTAGATAGTGCTAAAAGAACTAAGTTGATGTGTTGAACACACCTTTACAAAGTGCCAATCCTTCAAATACAGTAGGGTTTTGCCATTCAAGTTGTTGATTGAAGGATTGTCATGTTCTACTGAAGAAAAGTCAATCCACTTAGCAATAAACTCAGATACTGACATGTCAAACCTCTTCTGCTCTGTAAATTCTCTGCTACCACAGTCAGCAACCTACGGATTACAATGTGAAATCCAAAAATTTAGGGATTAGGATTTAGGAATCCGATTTGGAGAAAAACCACTCTAAGTTTTGAATAAATGAGCAACAATTCCGAACATTCAATTTCCATTCTCCCACAAACAGCCGAATAATTGTTACAAGTTAACTGTAGTAGTTGAAAACTGAAATGATTGATTGTTAAACAATGGAAAGCGAAACATTTCATATTAGAGAATTTAATCTTATGATCGGGGAGAAATTAAGGCACCTGTACTTTGGAATTACCGAAAGTGGAAGAGATAAACTGGAGATTAGGTCTTCCATCATCAAAAACCCAATCTTTACAAGCTCTCCAATCGTCCATGAGTCCCGTAATAACAACGGGTTCGTTCTTCGATAAGTATTTCTCCACAAAATTACTGTAACTCAGTTTATTACCATTTACCTTATCAACAGTCCCTACAATATTCAGTCCCATGATTTTTTATCAGATGCGTTTCATACAATCATACCCACGAACAGCTGCTGAACATGGTCGAAGAGGTTAGAAAGCGTATTTGGAGGTAGTTTGGGAAGTGGGATTCTTTTGGAACTAGAAACAGGCAAATATCATATTTTCTTTATAAAACAGACCCATGTAAAGTTATTAGAAGAAGCAAAATATTATAATTCAATCGATATTATCGATTGAAGTTATTTAATTCACTTATCAATTAAACAGTTTTCTAATCCCATTATATTTAATTTACTAAATTTGGATTATTAATTCATCATTTTTGTTTAAATTAGTTATAGAAAATTAAGTAATCTAACCATTTTTTTTAAACTAATTATAAGAAATTGAGTAATCTAATCATTTTTTTGCGGTTTTTTTAAATAATCAGTAAGTGAATGCTCATTTCGACCTGAATTCCGAAATAGGTGAATGGGTAAAAAAAATGATCCAATCGAGCATGTCGGACCTCATGTTTGAACTCATTGTTCCAGACTTCATTTTGAATTCACTTACTGTTCCAGACTATGTCAAATTCAAAGAATGTCTTCTTCTAGCTAGGGCCGACAAATATGTACCACAAAGAACCAATCAACATGTTACAAACCGAACCAATTAAATTGGTAGCCAACATGTTTGGTAGCCAATACGTTTGGCCGGTATTACCATCCTAATTAAGTAAACTTAGTACGGTAACGGTACAAAATTTTGATTACTACGGTTGTACCGTACCAACCAATTCATATATACATATATATCAATTAATAAATATGATGAAATATTAACTATCACATTTTTATGTTTCAATTAAGAGTAGCAAGTCTGCAATTTGCATTACTTATACATTACTCAAAACAAGAAAACTAAAAACAATTAACTAACCACTTCTTAGACTAGTATATCCTTTTTATTATTTTTTTATAGATAATGTTTACAATCAAGGGGGTGAGACAGCCGTGTAGTTACTGTATAACAACGTGATGGTTGAATACATTTACTTTGTATTGTACATGATACTTATTTTATTTTATATGTGTATAAACAGTACTAAACATCGATGACAATTTTTTTGCTTATTTTATTTTCGATTTTGGAAAATTTTCTAACCATCGGGAGATGATTACAATGTGAAGCCTAATATAGTTAATCGAGTGTCAAACTCTTCAAATATAAAAATTAGTTAAAGTTTTTGGTATATACCAATACTAATATGTACGAACTGATTTTTTTTGTAGCCAAATAAATTGGTACCAAGTATAGTTGGTATGGTACTGGTAGTTAAATTCTTCTGCCAACTATAGTTGGTACGGTATGTGGTTTGAAGAAAAAAAAAAGTCGGTACCGTACCAATTCCACCCCTACTTCTAACAATGAAGAAATTCACTTTTGTGGGTATGTGTCGATTCTTTTTTATGATTATATGTTTTTATTTTTAAATTCTCACCAAACAGTCACCATTATTCCTAAAAGAGGATTAGCAACCCTCCATTTGCTAAGATATTTCCAAAACAACCCTCCATTCATATTTCAAGATTTAAAACAATCATTTTGATTTAAATCATTTCAAAAATAATCCCATTAGTTTGATTTGTTACAAAATAGTCCCGAAAGCGTTTCAAAGTTCAAGAATTGTTGAACTTCGTTTTTTCACTCAAAGCTTCACCAAAACCAAGCTTAGATCGAGATCACGCATCGAAAGTGAGTTTCTACGGCCCCTCTTTTACTGTTTTTATATTTGGGGGAGAATACATGCATGTCTATTAAAGTTTGATGTTTTTCAAGTTTTTATACGTTAAAATGCATCATACTTGTTATTGGTCAAATGTTTATGAAATAGCAAATCTAAAATGTTATAAATCGTTAATCAATCATACAAGTTTAAGTAGACTGCTGAAATATAATATACTTATACTCTGTTGTGAAATATTCATTAATATTAATAAAAATCACAAGATTTTGGAAAGATTGCTATGATAACAAAAGTTAAGATTAAAAGTCATAAAAATGACAATTTTATATGTATAAGTTAAAGTATCGACTAGTAGTATGAAAAGATATACAAATGACCAAAAATATTATTCGAGTATAAAACGAAAGTACATTGTCATATTTGATGGAAAGACCAAGATTATAAAAATATATAATTAATAGTTTAAATTATTGAAAATTAACTTTTAATATATATAAATTATGTAAAAATGAATGTAAAATTTAATTAATATATTTTTATATTAAATATAAAAATATAACTCATTCTACTAAGTTATGAATTTTATTGCAATAAATAACATGATCGACTTCAGAACTTAAGAGTCGTTATTTGCGACATATTATATTGTATTAATCACGTGAATTATAAATATTATGGAATTTGTTGGTTTCACATTGATTGAAACCTGAAAAATATTATATAAGCAGCCGTTATGCTACCCAAATTTCGTCATAACAGACAATAGGAAATGTGGAAATCATTAAGTGTTATGAATCCCAAATACTAAAAGACTTAAATCAAAATCATTCATAAACATCAAAGAATTATAAGTATTCAAGAGTCTTGTATCGGAAAGTTTATGATTAGGATGCGTAGACATATTGCTAGGATCCATCACACCCACGGGACGTTCTATATGAGATACGTTTGTTCTAAAAGCTTTATGAGTTAGGATCATTTCCTAAGTTGCATGAGCTATGCTTGTTACCACACTAAGACCATACATCTTAGAAAAAATCCCTCTGTATCATAACCGTTAATTCGTATGGAACGAGGAACGTCAAGTATAAGTTCTGGATCATGTACTTCTTTGGGTTGACATCCCGTCATCGGTTTGTAGTTACAACCATCGGCAGACGAGTCGAGATTGGGCGTTGGCGTTTCCTTCACAAATTTTTTCATCACGTCATCAAAAACGTGGTGTGGGCTTTCAACACAACCTTTCAGTGTTGGTGCAGAGGTGTTCGTTACAGTTTGGTTATGAGCTCATTATAGATCCCAGATTTGCCTTGTTACCATATAGAACCGATATTGGGTTTATACGGGGTTTTTGTTCACTGGAATAGTTTGTCACCTAAAACAATAAGTATCAATACTAGAAATTAGTTATATAACACTTAATTAATATCATGACACAGCTGATTAAGGTTTAATAACTTACAATTTATAAGTTATTTATATAAACTCTGTTTTTATATGAAAACACCATAGTTATGTGGGAGGAGTTTTCCCCACTGGTTAAGTGCCGGTTCCCAAATTAAGTAAGATAATAATTAAATATAACTACGACACGATTTTACAAAGTTTATAAATTCGAAACTTATGAGTTTTACATATAAACTATACAAACACTTGTACAAGATTTCTATAGTAAAGTTAGCCATTTTATGTTTTCACAAGATGCAATATGACTTTATTTTATATAAATTGACACTCAAAAATCCTTATATAAAAAACATTTTGGTCATGAGAACCGTATAATTTGATATAAGTCTGAATTACTTAAAGTGTATTTTTCCAAATTTTGTACTTTTTGGATTTGAACAAATGATACTTATGAATGAGTCCAAATACGTTTTTATAACTCAATTGTGTTATACTTTTGATAGAAAGATACGTATTTATAAAAGCTGAACCAGATAAATTTTATAAAACGCTCTTGGTTATAAAAATACTTTGTGTCAAAACGTGTAGAACTAACCAACAATTTTGTTGACGTATCTTAATGCATGTATTCTCAGGTTTATTAGCAGATTGGAAGGATTTGCATAGAAGACTTTCCATTGTTTACTACACCTTTGTAAACGTCGATTGTTAGGCGTGTGTCTCGATTTAGCAATGGGCTTGTCAATGTAATTACTCTTTCGGTAATAATAGAAGATTATATTTGTACTGTTCAATTGTGATTACTGATTTACGTCGCGCACCTCGGCGTTTCTGCTGGCGTCCAGGGGTGTGACATGACAATCTCCCTCGATGTTTCTATCTAAAAACATGTCGTCCCCATCATATGTCAACGCTAAATCTTCGATATATGGTTGTTGGTCGGCTCTTCCAATTCAATTTCATAAAACCCTCCAATTTCTCAGCTTATGATTTCAAATGAGACCTAGTACGATTACACTCTGATTTTCATTCGATAATTCGATATTATAAGGGCAAGATTTCCTCCAGCGGTTTAGGTTCCGTTTGTGCTTACTTGCATACTTAGACATCCAATATAAGATTCCCAATCGATTCCACTTTTCAATCTTTCCATATTCTACCACATCGTCGAAGCCACTATATTTAGTTGCTTTTTTTGTAAATTGTTCCTTGCAGCCCACTACAGTGAAATTGGTTCAATTTCTTATTGTTTACTTTTAAATTGATGGATTATGCTTTTCAGATAAAGATGGAGAAAGAATGAAGGCACCCATTTGGTTGATGTGTGTTGGGCAAGAAAACTGCAATTCTAACAGGGTACATGTCATTATAGCCCAACACTATCGTCATTTATTCGATTTGGTCACTAAAGTATTTTTTTTTGCTCAATAGGTCATTAAACTTACAACTTAAATGTCTATTAAGTCACTTTCGTTAGTTTTTAACAGATCATCCGTTAACCAATTATTATAAGTTACAAGAATGGTCCTTATGGTTTCAATTTCTTTTGTGGTTGGGTCCTTTACCAGCATCATACATCACCTGCACCACCACCGTTCACTCCGTTCACTTCTGGTGCCCACCAACGTTTACCTTGAGCAACTCCCATGATTTTTTATTTAGATTTTAGTTTACCGGTCGATTTTAAGTAAAAATATGATATATTTAGTAGAAACTCCAACCACTTAAATCCCTTAAATCGACCAAAAATATACTAGATCAATAAAAATGGTCATCGTAGAAGTTTGCAAACTGCATTTAATATTATTTGGTGAAATAGTTGCATTAAAAATGATCAATTTTTAATATGTGGTTATTGTCGCAAATAAAAATGTATACGTTGGTAGTTAGTGAACTGCATATAGTGTTGCATGGTTTAACAATTTCATTCCGATAATCCAATTCAAATAAGCATGTTATGTATATACTTTGTGAAGCTAAGGAGTATTGATGCATTATATGTAAGAAAAAGTTAACTCATGAATATCTT